AGGATGTCTGCAAGTGCGTTGCCGGCCTTTAAGGTACGCTCTTTTACTCAACTACGTCGTAAGGGTTCGGAAATACATGTGTTGGCAACTGATTAAATAAAGTGGCAGTGCGCGGCAAGAAAAGACTTAAAAAGCGCTCATGGACTGAAGACGTCTAGATCGAACGGGTAGAATTTCGCATTGTATTTATGAAATGAAATACTTATGAACCTACATACAACTGAGAAACTGATGTTTATCGAATAGACAGCCAAAGCTCTGTGTTTATTAGATTAAAGAACACAGAGAATACAAAAAGGACTAATAGGTGAATAAGCCATTGTTTCGAAAACAATAACAATGTTTCATACAAAAAAATATTTTAAAGAAAATTATAAATTGTTAGATTATTATCATGTTCGGTTTCATGCTCTATACAATTCTTAAATTTCTATAATTTATAATACAAATCAAATAAAAATAGCCTGTATTGGTACTACATAATCAGAATTACATTAAGTCCATGTCATTATGTTTAATAGTACACGACCTTCGACGGAGTGAAGGTCTCCTCCAAATTGTCCTTATTTCTCATCCTCGCCACCAATATACAAACCTTCCTCGCTATCTCTTTTATTCTATCTCTGTACATGCATACTTCTAATTTGTACATATGCAATTTCGTATTTTCTACTATCTCTGTAGTAGATCCTATTGTTATTCTTAGAAGTAAAATATTCATTTCAACAACGCATCTAAATTCTAAATTTAAATATCTACACGCATGCAATGTATGGCCTCTACAATTATCCTTGCTACGCGCAGGACTCTCGTGGTTTGAACAACCCTCCGCGGGAATTACTGCATTAGACGCCTGCAGCTACGTGCTGAAGTGCCACACTACTGTTTGTTTAAACTAGATTGTATGAACTATACATATGTGGAATTGAGCTTTGGGTTCTTTTATAAGGTTTTGATAAATATAGCAAACAAATTTTACAGTTTTGTTGTATTAATAAAAGTGTATCATGCGGCGAGTTTATTTTTTTTATTTATATAAAACCTTTGAAATTCGTTAGTACATTAATATAATTTAATATATTTGAGCTAGTTATAAGTTCATTCAAATATTAGCACAACGTCTGCTTAGTGGTTTAAATGCTAATTGCTCCGTTTTGCGTTTCTATTATTTGAGAAATTCATTATATTTTGAATTTTGCAAGGTTGCGGGTTTTTTAGAGTAAAAGCGTATAAAATTATTTAATTGTGGTTTAGGAATATTTTTATATTTCAAAGTGTTTTTTGAACTTGAATTATTAGTAGAAACTAGTAATGTTATTAATAAATGTTGAATCGATAGCAATTAATCTACGTATAATAAATAAATTGTTAAAGTAATTAATTTAATTAATAACTTTAACACGCTGCTATTCTATTACCATGTGGGATTAAACCACAAAACCTTTAAGTGCTTGTTATTTCAATTTGAAATAAGAAAATTCAAGATATAAATAAAAGTTGGAAATACGATAACTTGCAAGATCACAGGTGTGTCGTTTCTAGAGATGTCGCGATTTGAAATTTTAAACTTTAAAATCGAAGGACGAATATTTTCTCTTACAAGTACGAATCTCATATTACTTTTTGTTATGTTTGAAAATATCGCCGAAATCAATATAAAAATGTATTTTCTTGTTAATTTCCAAAACTAACTAATTTTCTTAACGATACTGTTTTTTTTACCAATGGCGCTACAATCTTATAGGCCTAGGCCTCAGATTTCTGGATTAATTCCGTGATCATTTAAAAAAGAACCAACCTTCTTTGCCTGACACATGCAGTCACCTTTTTGGGTCTAAGGCACGCCCGGTTTCCTCACGAAGTTTTCTTCACCCTACAAGCAAGTGCTAAATGCGCACATAGACAGTACACCGGCACACAGCCATGGATCGAACCTACGACCCCAGGGATGAGAGTTGCCCGTTGAAACCACTAGGCCAACGCTGCTGTTTTTATTACTGTTAATTTTTACCTTATATATTATACAGCTATTGTTTACTGTATGATTTACTATACAAAGAAAAAGAAACATTTGATAAAATTATTTTAATAAAAATCGGGGCCAAATCTTTATGTTATTGTAACCAATTATATTGATTTTCAGTTGGCTATTAGACCCTAGAGAAGACTGTAGACCTCATGTTAACTTTTATTACAGTGCAGACTCTTTAAACCCTTTTCATTAAAAGTCAATATTTTTGGCCAGGCTATTTGATTTATGACGTCCGCCGATACACATCTAAGTTCAACACTCGCTTGATGGCCCCAAATTGTTCATGTTTAATTATGTATTTCATGTTTTTCCAATCACATAACCTCGATTATTTATGGAACTTTGATTAGCATTGTTCTTATAAAAAGAATATTAATTTAATGAACATTACCTTGACAATTGACTAAGGTACATGAAATCAGAAACATTTAACTATAGACCGAGTATATTTAATTATGCTTTACTTTAAATTTCACTCATAAAACTTTATCATAATTTCACATTAAAAATACTCTTTACGGAATGGAATACGTTTAATCATTTGCAACTTGAATTTATCGAATTAACCAAATAATTTACTGTTTATTTTAATTTAAGTTTATTATTATGACGTAAGTCTTAGGGTCTGTTTCACAATGGATGGATAAAGTACCAAATAGCTATGCAACACATAAATTATTTGGAAGATAAATTGTGCTATTTGACATTTCATCGGACTCATAAGTTTTGATGACCTTTATGTGACGAATAGCGCTATCTGACAGTCGTGAAATGCAACAATAGGTGTTTATCCTACCAATAAGTAATAAACAGCTTATTTGGAACTTATGTAGAACTTATCCGTACATTGTGAAACAGACCCTTAATCTGCCAAAGTAGATTTTATTAATTTAATCATGTATAATGCTAGTTTACACTGTACACTCACCAAATATGTAATTTATCATATAAAAACGACAAAGCTAATGACATACACAATTGGCATCCAACTTATGAATATAATTCATGCGCCCATTACCCTGATTATAATCGCTTAATCAAATCGCATCGTGTGCAAACACCCTAACGTCTTAGGCACGTCACGAAATCGTGCGTGACTTGACCTTTTTTGTTTTTGAGGACTTGAGAAAGTACACAGCCTTATTAAAAAGGTTCTAAGGGCTATTATCGGGTAACAAAAATAAACCGCAATGCAGAGCTATTAGAAAGTATGACTGAGTAAGAAACCAAAAATTAAATGATAATAATCGAGATTAATACACACGCGGTTCACAGTTCCGTATTGCCTCTGTTGCTAAATATATAAAAATACTAGCTTCTGATAGTTGAAAGTTTTAGTTTTATTTAGTACTTAGCGAGCAAAGCGACAAGTCTCTATGGCATAGCAAAACGTTCCATATGTTTGTATGTTGCTAGTAAAAAGGCAGGCTAAGTAAAAAACACCTCAAGGCGAAGACCCCCTAATACGCCACTAAATAAAAAGTGCCCATAATCTGATAATATTTTTAGTATCTTAGGTTGTCTTTCATGTTTAAGCGGCTTAACTATTATCCGTATCTTTGGTATAGTTGAAAGCAAATGTGATCAGCAATAAGACTATTCTTTAAATTCATATATATAGAGCTGGTAGATACAGAATGCTACTTCAATGCTCAAAACACAGAACAAACTAAAAAAGCTGTATAAAAATCATTGTAGAGTCGAGAGTAAAATTTTATACAACCGAATCTATTTCTATGCATTTTAATGCTTTTGTCATTTGTATGTAAAATGATTTTAATAGTTTTTATTGTACATTCGGCTACCCGTTTATATGAATTTGTAGTTTTTAATATGAAAAATCGTTTAAATTTTTTATTATTACTGTATAATATAATAATCTTATTACTTTAAAATAAATATGACTATAAATAAGCATCGTAAATCAAAGTAATTAATATTGTCTATTCTTCTAATAAACTTATATGTTGACCGATGATTTAAGTTTAAATTTTCAATCATTGCTTTGAATATAATTAAATAATAAAATAAATAATTATATATATATATTATTTATATATATATATTTATATATATTTATGCTTTTAATATTTGTATGTTAACATATTATGAATGTCTAACAAACAATTGTTTTATTAATTCACACGCAAATAAAATAAAATTGAAATCTGTTAATAAACAAAAGTACCACAAAATTTCATCAACCATAATCCAAATCAAATACTTTTAAATGGTGGGATTAAAAATTAATTATAATCGTAATGCAATGGATTTTCATCTGCGAGACCAGATATTAATGAATTGGATGTTTTATGCTTATACTGATAAATATTTTAACACGGTTTTTTTGGGTAGCGATTCTATATTCACTGAACGAAAACCTATTCACACGAACTTTATTTTGCTATCATTAAATAGTTCTATAATACGTTAATATCGGTTTTTGACCGCTTGAACTTGTCAAATTTTCTATAAAATTTGTATAGTCGTAAAATGTAACGTGTTGTTCGTACTAAAGGTACGTAAAATCAAATAACGAACTGTTACAACTTTTTGTATATTCAATGTACGTACGTACCTTAGCAGGTTCAAGAGCGTATTTAGATTAACAAAAGACCTAGTTGGGGACACACGTTTTGCCATGGAAAACTTTTTAGCTCAGCAACTCTCAATAGCGATAGCGACTGCGAACCCATTTTTTTTACATAAAACCTCGCTATTGGCCTAAAGGGAATAGGCTTTTTCCTGCGATTAGCGCAAGAGCGTCTCCTACGAAACCCTTACTTACCCTAATCTGATTTTGCTTTGTCGTGCCCGTTGGCATTAGCTTCGGTGATTGGATCACCCGGATCCGTTAAGCGGTCGGCGTCTTCTACGGGTAGGCTTAACCCTACCCGAAAACGATTAATAATTGATGCTTAATACCAAGGGTTGGGTTGGTGTTTAGCCTTGTCGACGTGGAGTGTGGATGCCAGCTTGGAAACTCCAGGTCATGGAGGACCCGTCGTCGGTAGATATGGGAACAGGCACAATCCGCGAAGACATGAGGTTAAAGTTTCGACAGAGTTTAAAGCCTCGTCTAACTTCTGCCAATCGGCAATGGATTTGCACATCTGGTATTAGGACCGAATTCAAAGCGAACCGGGAATCGTCAGAGTTTACTTCATGTAGCACCTTATATGCTGCGCGGCTGGAGTGCTACGTTGTGTAGAACTGCTACGCCTACTGATCGAAGACATCCATTGAGTGAAGGCCGTTACACGCTATTCCGCAACGAATCGGATGGATGGGGGAGATGATGTTGAAATTGAGCAAGTCATTTAGCCTGTTGATTCTCTCCAATTAGGCTTTCAGTCCAGTCCCTGTGCATGCTGTTGAGGTCACCAACCAATAAGAACGAGGACACCAGTGCAAACAGGGTCCTAATACCGCTCTCTAGGATGTGTTATGACGTGGCAGGTAACGATATTTTTACGGTCCCGGTATGATAGCTTCAGGTTGTGAACAAAGCCAGGGGGATACTTTTTACGTTACACCGCCCTAGTGGAGGTTTTCAGGATAAAGTTAGCGAGTTATATAAAAGCAAATGTTATATTCTTTCATATATGATACATATCTTAAAGTCAACACAATTTTACGGTAAACGGTAAAATCATTTCTCGAACTTTCGAGGTTTGTAAACACGTCGAATACACAATAGTTTGTTCGGTAAACATTGTATTTGAATGAAAAAGTTGATTATGGTCCTGAATTTTGCGAAGAAAGGGTTGGATTGTGTGCGACATGTTACTATATAACGGATACACATTTTGTCAATTTAAATAGGAAAGCTTTGAATACTAATATTTGTTTTTGATTTGGAGATAAATTACACTTCTAACTAAGCGTAATTTTTTAACCGACTTCGGAAAAGTGGGTTATCTGTTTGTCCCGTTTGTGATACTGTTGGGACTATATCTTAGAATAGCACGTGTACTTAATTTCAATTCGACTTTTATTCACAAACGTAGAGCAGTGTTGGCCTAGTGGATGCAGCGTGCGACTCTCATACCTGAGGTCGTAGGTTCGATCCCCGGCTGTGCACCAATGGACATTCTTTCTATGTGCGCATTAAACATTTGCTCGAACGGTGAAGGAAAACATCGTGAGGAAACCGACATGTCTTAGACCCAAAAAGTCGACGGCGTGTGTCAGGCACTGGAGGCCGATCACCTACTTGCCTATTATATTTAAGAATGACCATGAAACAGATTCAGAAATCTGAGGCCAAGACCTAAGCGGTTGTAGCGCCACTGATTTTTTATTTTTTTTTTTTAAAAACCTCTTACAAACTAAAAATCTTTTTGTGATATAACCGTGATAATTAACGCGGTCATGAAAAAAGAGGCACATTGACTACTTACCACTCGTACGGTACAAGATGACATCATGAGGATGCGGGCATGTCACCCTTTTTTTTTTTTTTTTTTTAAAAATCGATGGAGTGTGTCAGGCACATATGTCTGACCAACTTGCCTATTAAAGTATTACATAACATAGACAGAATCTGGAGGCCAAGGCCTGGAGGTTATACTCCTGTGCCACTGGTTGCATTTAATATTCCAACTAAGTGAACGGTCTATATTAGTATACGGTATACGTATATAATATTAGTTATTCAATATTTATTTAAATACAACTCGCTGACCACGATTGCTGTAACGCAATTGCTACTTCGAATTATGTAAATATATTCGGTTTATTGCAATTAAAGAAGTTGTATTTAAACATAATTCATATTCAATGTGTAATTTTTCTGGAGAAAATTTTGTTTTTTATAGAGGCTAACGCAGAAAAAAATTCAGGACCCCGGAAAATTTTGTTTTTTATAGAGGCTAACGCAAACTCTGCTAACTGGCAGGAGGCTCACCTGATGTTAAGTGAAACCACCGCCCATGGACAGGCTCGCGAGTGCCTTGCCGGGCTTTAAAGAATTGGTACGCTCTTTTCTTGATTACCGAATAGGTTAGGAAATCCTTCAGTGGGTAGCTGGTTCCTCATAGAGGTGGTGCGCGGCAAAAACTGCCCTAAATAACGCTCAGTCGCACGAAATTCCGCCCGTATTACTTCGACGTCCGATGATGAAACTTAATTTAGTAGTCAATTATTTAGTTAATTAAAGGTTTAAAATATATCATTATTTTCCAGCTCTTGATTTGGCAACTGGTAGTGAATGTATATTTAAATCTTCCTTTTATTTAAAACTGCCCCCGCGAACATCGTTTCGCCTTAATATGATAGTTTTACTTAGTCTACCTCTTTAGTATCTATATGGTACATTTAACTTATTTTTTAAATGAGTCCAGTTTGTCCGATATTTTTTTTTTTTAATGGAATCTCGCTGTTGGCCTTAGGGGCCTTTACAGCTCAGCTCGGGCTGTTTTGGCGAGCGTAGCTCAGCCAGAATGGGCGATTTTCCCGCGACTAGCGCAAGGGCGTCTCCTGTGAGACTCGAACCTCGGCTTGGGCCGTCACGGGGTGGTCAATCTGAAAGGCAGGACGGAAGCTCACTGGAGTGAGCGAAGTACGAAGTAAAGGTCCTCGCCTTCCCCGGTGCCAGTTTGTCCGAGAACCCCCCCACCCACTAAAAACACCTCAGCCCATCACGTGCCCTTAAGATGGGCCCTCGGGGTTCGCCAGGCATACTACCCAAGTGACCCGGGCTTATATCCGACATAGAGCTCAATCACGACCTGAGTTTACCGGGCCACTCGAGACCGAGACCCCAGCCTTGACCCACCTGCCAGTCCACGGTCAACCCCAGACCTGTCCCTCAATCACTTAGCAGCCTCCTTCTGCAGCAATAGTACATTTTAGTATGCTACCCCATAAACCCTGTTCGCTTCTCCGGAATAAAAACCTAAGTACTAATTAAATTACTACTAAATTTTTATAATTTTTTAATTTATCCAGTTTTTCTTTCCATAAAAACTTTCCTCAGAGTTCCAGGAATAAATAAAAGCCACATATTTTGTGATTCATTTTCACAAACGAGAAGATTTTAGAAGATTCATAAATAATAATTAAATACAATTTGTAAATAAAGAAATAATTTAACTAATAGACTAGGATATCCATTCAAAAGCTCTTTTATTAAATTATTCGGAGCATTTTCAAATTAGTTACTTCTAAAGTTAATCCTTTCCTGGGAAATGTTTTTTAATCTTATTTGGTCATTAATGTTAGTGCCTTGCGGAGTCCATGAACACGTGCAACAAACACTGGTTTTTGGCAGCACTCCGATCCATTAGATTAATTAATCGGATAACGTTGGTCGATTCCCCATATATTCGAATATATGAGACATGATCAATTGTATTTACGTTCATTTTAAACCCGGCAGAAGTGCCTGTATCGTTTAACCGTGACAAAACAACTGAACCGCCCATGGACATCAGACATGCCAGAGGGCTCGCGAGATCTCGCCATTGATATTAAAGCCTCGGTCGCGCCATTCGAGGCGCTTTTTTTTAATAGAACAGGGGGCAAACGGGCAGGAGACTCATCTGATGTTGGGAGAGAGAGCTCGCGAGTGCGTTGCTGGTCTTTTAAGAATTGGTTTGAAGGCAGCTTCGTTTGCAGCGGTAAACAGTTTGGTGATATAAAATTCTAATACCTCGCTGAAGCGGAATATCTTTAGTGCATTTCTCTTGAAGTCTGAATGAAAACTTATTTATATTTTACATATTATCATAGTATTGGCTGATATAAAAGTTATATTTGTTACTTTGTTTTTTTATAGAGGCTAACGTAAACTCTGCAAACTGGCAGGAGGCTCACCTGATGTTAAGTGATACCGCCGCCCATGGATACTCACACTGCCAGAAGGCTCGCAAGTGGGTTGCCGGCCTTTCAAGAAATGGTACGCTCTTTTCTTGAAGGGGTGTTATAAATGATCACGGAACACATACAGAAATTTGAGGCCCAGACCTAAAAGGTTATAAGGACATATAGTGAACATTTAAATTAATAACGCGTTACTTCAATAAACTATGAAAAATGTTTTCAGATTCCACTCATAGCTTGGAAACTAGGAATAATTTACAAGTCAAAGCCTTATACAAAATGCATTTGATAAAACTGAATGAAATGTTTGTTTTAAAGAAAAAAAATGTAGGAAAATGAATTTTTGACCAACGTATTATGTTGAATTAGAAGGTTCAGGGCAAAGGGCTCACTAAGCGAGATAAACGTATGATGTTATTATAAGTTAGAAAGGGACAGAGATCATTTACACATCAGATGCTTTTGCGAGATCCTTTGACTTGAAACTTGTCCATTCAGCTAATTGATGAATTATACAGAGTTGTTAATTATATTAAACGTCTATATTACTCTAACAAATTATATAAAATTAGGTATTATCTTAGGTTATTTTTTACTACACGATCCCTTTTAAAGACTAATAATTTATATCTAAAAATGTATGTAAACACGAAACATGCGAAAGTTTTAATTGTTTATTTGGCGGTAACAACAGCTCTATAAAATTTCGGATCTTTGATCTTTTTGCTCTTAGCCCTCGGACACTCGTACAATATTCAGGAGCAGGTACATTACCTTTCAGGTAATTAGACACTTCACACATAGTGAACGGATTAATGGTTAACGAGGGATAGTTTAAATCGTAATAACTTTATTAAACTGTTATCAACAAAATCAGATTAATAAATAGCAATATAGTCCAGTGTAGTGCGATACAGTTAACATTTTGGTTCCTAGAAACACACAAAAGAGAGTGCAACTTTACATTAATAAATGCCTATACAATAATTCTGGCTCATAATTAATATTATGTTTACTTAATTTTCTACAATACTAGTAAATAGCTTAGACTAAGGTAATGTTCATTAACAGTCTTAGTGCTCTATAATGTTACACTATGTTCGTGTATCCTAGATACCGCATTTACACTTATATTCACTACTTTAGTTTTATTAACTCAAAAGGTTGAGTTCTCTTTAGGCGTCTTGTTCCTATTTTATTAAAAAGTTCGATTGCCTCAGCATTCTATCATCATAGGTAACAGAATTAATTATGTAGTTATTAATATTGACGAGAAGCGTTTTTTTTATAATATTATTTAAATGACATAAACGCCATCTGTTTTTTTAAATCAGAAACTCTTGTAACAACATTATTGTACACCACCAAATAAATTATTATTATAAT